CTATAAATATGTTTTCGCTTCTCTGTGTTTATTTGTATAGTCTTTCATTAGTTATAATTTGTATATTTAATTACAATTAATTATAAATAGACTAAATATATTATTTATACTATTCTGTATGTGTCTGTATTTGAGTTTTTCCTTCGTAACTAATATAATAAATGCTAAACATTTATTTTATTATTGATTATTTCATAACATTAAATATTACCTATATATTACAGATTTAAATATGTTTATTTCTATTAATATAATAAATAATTTATAAGTTATAAGTAAATTAATTATTAATAGACTAAATACCATATACTGTAATGTACAGGATACATTGTAGTAATATATTGTGTAAGCAATTGTGTGTGAAATCCTATTCCTTCCGTTCCCGACATGTTCTACACGTTTGTTATATTACTTTTGGGATATATTTTTGAGCCACAAATCAATATAAATCTATTGGAAAGAAATGTGTTGAGAAGAAAAATAAGTTATTTTATATGATTTTTTATATTTCACTAAATATAATGTTATTGTTTTTATTTATGACAAAAGCCTTAGCTTTTATACGATTGCTTTCAATTTGGCTAAAATAACCCACTTTTTCGTATTAATAATTTATTTGTTTCTCAGATGTAATCTCAAAGTTATTTATTATATTTCCACTCTATTTATAGAGTAATCCTTAAAAGGTTTTCTCGTTTACTTCTTTAAAGAAATCACTGCTTTTGTTATTTAAATATTACTATAAATGTTAACATCCATTTAAATTAAACACAAACACCTTTTTAAATTTTAATTATAATGATTTATTATGAAAATAATTTGTCTATTTAATTAAATTAAAAACAGTTTGCAAATACTTTACTAATCTCTGCATTTTGTTAACTATATTTCCCATTAATACATAATCTGAAGATTATTTCTGCAAAACAAATGCTTTGATTTTACATTCAATTACTTTTGCTGTCATTATACACAACAGCTGTCACCATAACTTAGTCCAGACTCCAGAGTAACAATACAAGGGTTGTTCACAACCAATACAATCAATTGCATTCAATCCAAAATATCTATTCATATTGGGATGAAAATCAATATTTTATATACAAAATATCTGACAATAATGTCAAGTTTTTAATAAAAAAAAACGTATTTCACTTGCAATTTATAATATTAGACTTGGGATGACCATGATGTATGGTGACAGCTGTATACGTATATCATTTACTAATGTATTTATTGATCACATGATTCATAGAGTATTTAAGTGGACGTATGTATCGGTGGTGTATTCGGACACCGATTACGGTAACAAAGGGTACGAACACTTGCAAGAGTTGGCAAAGTATCACAACATCTGCTTCTCGAGCCCTCAGGCCATTATAGAGTATTTAAGTGGACGTATGTATCGGTGGTGTATTCGGACACCGATTACGGTAACAAAGGGTACGAACACTTGCAAGAGTTGGCAAAGTATCACAACATCTGCTTCTCGAGCCCTCAGGCCATCAATGATGAGCACTTCTCGACATCCGATTACGACAATGTCATCAAAAATCTCATGCATAAGATTAATGCCAGGGGTAAGACATCTCATTCATTACAATCAATTTTTACATAGATTATCAAATAATTTATGGTCTCATTTTGCAGCCCTTGTTACCCATAATCATATTGTTTTTTTGCCATTCATTTATATTCATTGCATTTCTTATTTGAGTGATTGTTTTGTTATGAAAGTGCAGCGAAAAAGTACATGTTATAAGATTTTTGTACATAACTTTAATGATAGCATAACTGAACCGTTTGTCTATAGTTTAAAGGTTTATGGTTTGGGAAATTGAGGCCAAAATTATCATGAATTTTATTTTCTTTTTGAAAAGATTTGCTTCTTTTTGTGATTATTTGGGAAATCGTTTTTTACTAAACAAATAATGAAAATACTATATATGGTATGATTTTAACGCAATTTTTCCAATTCCGAGAGAGAGAGAGAGAGAGAGAGAGAGAGAGAGATATTCTATGAAAAACATTTGCAATTTTATATCAAATTTGTGACAATTTATTTTGAAATAAAATACTATTTTTCTGTTGCAAACAATTTTTGTTGAGAAACTGATGATAGGTTTTCTCATTTTAATTTCAAATATAGTTCACGTTTTGTGATTTCAAATTTAATATATTATACATTTTTTCAATTACTTACGAATAGTTTCTCAAATATACTTAAAAATTAATTTAAGTAAATATTTTTGCCAAAAAATAAGAAAACATTTTATTTCATTAATAATACAACTATTTTTAATATGAGTTAGGATTTCAGATATTTTCCATATAAACACCAATTCTACATAAGAATATTCTGTGAATTATATATTAACTTATATATAACTTATAAAGATTCAGGTCATTTAAGCGTTAATGCATTCATATTGTAATAAAAGTATTACAATACTCCTCTCTCTCTCTCTCTCTCTCTCTCTCTCTCCTTAAGTAATATATTATTTGAAATGCCATTTATTATGAATAAAATCTCATTCAATCTCACATTCAGAGCAATCTTGTTGTTTACATCTATTGTAAAATAAGAATTATTTAATTAAACAAAATGTTTCATTAAAACTCGCTTAATCCGTCTCATCAATTGGTTTTAATACAAAATTAAAATATAAATCTCATTAAAATTCACCAAAAATAGTCAGTAAAACATCTTAAAGACAGCAATAATTGAAATTTAAATGAAATGTCAACGCATTTCACAAACGGATTATAAAACAATTACCATTGAGTTTGAAATTACAAACAGAAAAAAACAAAATTGTTATTAAAACAAAAAACAATATTTTAAGCACATAATCCGTGGCAAGGATTATAGCAATAAACCAATTTTTAATAACATACTGACAATTAAAAAAATTATTACACTATAAGAAGTATCAATAATAACTTATCACATGAAAATGTTTTATTGATTAATGAAAGGTATAGTGATTTACCTAATGGACAATCCTGACAATGAAACTGATCCGATAAGTACTGATAGGCGGAACAGTTGGTGCAGAGCCAACAGCATGTGTCGCCCTCGAGCTGAAGCTTGGCCTGACCCGGCTTACACTCCTCGCTGCAAAAGGATCGGGGGAACTGTGGCTGAGACTGTTTGAAACGCATAGTCTGTATGTCCAGCTCCAGTCGCGCCACATCGCCGTCATTGGCCACTAAAAGCACACATCAAATACAAATAACTCATTAATAAATCAATAAATGCATCGATTATTTATGGTTTCATGCGGTCAACACATTTTTCCGAGAGATAAGCGAAACACAGACAACAAAACTAACTGTTTTTCCAAACGAGAAAAACATATTTATCTCATTATTACAGTTATTATTCACCAGAATATTCTGCGCTTTAGTAATGACACGGAATGTTATTTTTGGTGTTCAATTAAGTGAACTGTTAACCACATTATAGGGTATGTCTCAACACTACTATTTGAATAACACATAACTATAACTATAAGGTATAATAAATATAATTCTCACGCATATAAGTGCCGACTGGTCTCCATTCAAACGAGCCATTAGGGAGGCGTTGAAAGTTCATAACACTATAACGAGGCGGTGCGTCACCCGAAGGCAGGAAACGAAATGTTTTGCCGCTTTCGTCTGTGTGTTAACAATAAAACCAAATGTATCATCATGATTTTTGTGTCACTAGCATATACAGTAATATTTTTTGTAATTATCCATTAGTTTATAACTAGTGCTAACAAATTAGTAGTATTAATGTTTGATTTGTATAAACAGTGCGCGAAATTTAGTTAAATAAACAGTTAATTTGCGTGTAATTTGTCACTACATTCGCCAATCAATGTTTAATTTTGTTTTTATAGATGTTTTGTAATTTTTTGCAAAGTTTTTATAAATTATATATAAATTATGTTTAAAAATTAAATAAATGATTGATAAAATAAATAAATAATTAGAAAGAATGAAGGTCGTTCTTATAAATTATAAATAATCCATGTGGGTTGTGGTTATAAATTATTTTTAAAGTATCATTTTAATTTTAATAAATGCTTTGAATAAATTAAATAAAATAAATTAAAGCTTTGCTAAAAAATACCAAAAATACCTTTGAAATTGACTTTTTCGACAAACTTCTTAAGTTCTGAGCCGTCGATGTCAGCCATTTGTGGACAGAGTCCGGGCACTTGACCGCACTTTTCCCGATGCATATCATTGAGTGCGTGCG